AGAACAAATATATGTATGTATCTGCATGGCTGGGACATTGTGCTGAGCACCAGGAACGGACACTGACTGCACTTACAAATTAAAAAAAATAATTGTGTAAGAAATGGAAGGGCATACACATGTACCCTGTTCCATAGCAGCATGAGACGGGGCAAGGGGGAAGGACCCCCGAGTGGACCAGCGTGGACGGAGCTGTAAGTCCACACAGGGTGGCCGGGCAGGAGGAGGCAGGGAGGTAGCTTTATTAAAAAGAAAGGTTCAGATTGAAGAATAGAGAGTCTGGCAAGGGAGATGCCGTTGGACCTTGCACAGCCAGCTCAGGTGTGTTTCTGCGCCCCAGGGGTGACCGGGGCAGGGTGGGTCTGGGGCAGAATGGGCCCGTGCATCCGTCGAAGGAGGATGAACATGCATATGGAAGCAGGTGCGGATTCACGGAAGCGGCGGGCATCCAAGGCACAAAATCAGGTTCCGTGATGCCTAGGTGGGTGTCGCGCCAGGAGGTCCAGGCGCAAATGTGCTTCTAGGACTCAAGGAGCCAGGAAGCCAGCATGTTGGTAGCCGGCGGTGCCCGGGCATCAGGGCAGGTGTCCTGGGAGAATTACTGGACAGTTTCAGCTCTGGCTGCAGGATCTCCAGCTGAGAACGTCCTGGGGCACAGGAGACAGACGAGGTCTACCGAAGAGAGGCAGATGCTGAGAATATTTTGAAGAAGTGCTTTAAACCATGCAAGGAAGTCAGGGGCATAAAAAGGACTATGATGCTGTGACTTCCAAAAAAAAATATTATGTTTATCAAACAGGCTTCGTTAGGAGCTTGCTGGACTGGCTTCAGGTAGGGCAGGACATCTCAGCATAATTTGCGGTGTTTCGCATTTACGCCATCCCCTTCTCTTGAATTTTCCAGGCTTGAATTTACTTGTCCGTGAATTAATGCTGAAACTGTTAACACGACTTTAATGCCACCCAATTTCAGAAATAATAACAATGCGCATTTCTTTAAAAATTTTTTTTTCAAGTTCAAAAGTCCTTTGTGAGCCAGAAAGTCCTTTATTTTTGACTGTGAAAGTCTGCAAATAACCCAGACCCCAAGTAGCAACTCAGCATTGGCTGAAAGCAAGTGTGTCTCTGATAGAATTTTTTTTTAATCGAAGTGCAGTCAGTTACAGTGTGTTCATTTCTGGTGCACAGCACAATGTCCCAATCACGCATAGACATACATATATTCATTCTCATATTTTTTTGCATTAAGAGTTATTACAAGATATTGATCATAGTTCCCTGTGCTACACAGTAGAAAAAATTTTAAAATCTATCTGTATATGTAGTGGCTAACATTTGTAAATCTCAGACTCCCAAATTTATCCCTTCCCTCCCCCTTTCCCCAGTAACCATCAGCTTGTTTACTATGTCTGTGAGTCTGTTTCTGTTTTGTAGATGAGTTCATAAGGGTTTCTTTTTGTTTGTTTGTTTAGATCCACATGTGAATGATATCATATGGTATTTTTCTTTCTTTCTGTCTTACTTCACTTAGAATGATGATCTCCAGGTCCATCCATGTAGCTGCAAATGGCATTACTTTATCCTTTTTCATGGCTAAGTAGTACTCCATTGTATAAATACACCGCATCTTCTTTATCCAGTCATCTGTTGGTGAACATTTAGGTGTTTCCATGTGATGTAATCTTGCTTTTATTGTTTACCTTGTTTTCCCCTTTCAGTGCTTTGGGCTCCTAGGGGTGAACGGAGCTGGGAAGACCACCATGTTCAAAATGCTGAATGGCGACACCCCTCCGACCTCCGGACACGCCGTCATCAGGACACCCATGGGGTAAAGTCCAGATTTAATCATTTTTGCTGCTTATTGAGATAACTGTCAGCCCATAGAGCCCCCAGCAGCCCTCAGTCCCATGAACTAGGGTCTGAGGGTGTCATCAGCCTCCAAATGCACCTTCCAAGGAGCACTCCTCAAAAGAGGATGAAATGTGAATGAAATGAACTTGGTATTTCTGGCCAAAGGGTCGAGGAAGTGTTGGCAAGAAGCAGCCAAGGGCTGACCCCTTTCTGGGGCACCAGGTGGGCGTCAGGTGTCCAGCTGCTCCCTGCGTTGCGTAGCTCAGGTGAGCAGGAAGCAGCCGGGGGCTGGTTCTTTCTGCGTTTTGCTGTCAGGTGGAGCATCCAGTGCCTCACTGACATGGAGGTGCCGGCAGGGGCTGGATACTCTCATGTGTCTGGCCACCCAGACCTCGTCTTTCGGGTGGTAGAGCAATTCTCCAGCTCCTCCTCCACAAGCCACCTGCGTGCGTCCTAATTCTGTACTTGTTCCCATGTTCCATCCTATATCCCACTTTTCTTATTTGCAGTTCCCTACGAGAAGGTCCCAGCATAGATTTTTTTTTTGCATCCTTTTTTAAATTGAAGTAAAGTCAATTTACAATGTTGTGTCGGTTTCTGGTGCGCAGCATCGAGTTTCAGTCACACACCCAGCATTACATCTTTTCTCTTTGTCCTACTGTAGTGAATTCACAGTAACTTGGTAAGAGATTTCAGGACTGTGTTGTTGAACTCAGACAGAGAAAGCTCCATGCCTGCTGTTCACTCTCTGAAGGTCATTGTAGAAACAGAACTTAGGGGTGAAGAAGCTGCGGCATACTTATATAATGGAATACTACTCAGCCATGAAAAATAATGAAATAATGCCATTTGCAGCAACATGGGTGGACCTGGAGATCATCATTCTAAGTGAAGTAAGCCAGACAGAGAAAGACAAATATCATATGATATCACTCACATGCAGACTCAAAAGAAAAAGGTAAAAAGAGGACACTATGAACTCATCTACGAAACAGAAACAGACTTGCAGACATAGTAAACAATCTTACAGTTACTGGGGGAGAAGGCAGTGGGAAGGGATAGATTGGGAGTTCGAGAGTTTCAAACATTACTATATATAAAAATATAAATAAAAACAAATGTCTTCTGTAGAGCACAAGGAACTATATTCAATACCTTATAATAACCTTTAATGGAAAAAGAATATGAAAATGAATATATGTATGTGTCTGCATGACTGGGACGGTGTGCTGTGCACCAGAAACCGACACGTTGTTAACTGACGGTAATTCAGATAAAAAATTTTTTTTTAAAAAGGTCAATATTTGGAACTAATTGTGCTCAAGAACAGAAAGTGGAATTAATCAGTGGAGTGAGTGAGTGAGGCATGTGGGAATAGAGTTGTATATCCCAGGACATTCTGAAAGGGAGTCACGCCGAGTGCAGTTGATGCTCTCTCGACTGTTACGTTGTGGATTTTTCTCCGTCGTTGGACAAGTAAGAAGGTGTTTTTGCTGAAGTGTGGTGCTTTTATTTCTCTCCTGACCTCTCCACTGACAAATACCTCTGGACAAAAACATCAGAATTTGAAAAGAAAACAAAAGTAGATGGTTTATTTTCTCACCCCTGGAAGGCTTTCTCATCCCATTCCGTCATTTGTAAAAGAATTGGAAAATGAAATACAAATAGCCGCTCTGGAGAGGAAGGATACATTTACATCCTCATCATGGTCTGGAAGACCCTTATTATGCTACGCATCCGTGTAATTAGTTTAATTATAACGAAATCACACTTGCATTAATTATATTTTTAACCCTGATTATTTGTAATGTTAATTGCGCATTGGTATTCAGGGGATTAGACGGGTAATTAGGACACAATGGAATTTTTAACGACTCAGCCAGTCAGTATATACCTCTCTGCCCTGGGGCTCCTCACGTCCTACCACTTAATTGAAACCCGTCAGGTCGGTCACTCGTTCTATTAGAGTTTCCCTCGCCTTTCCTTTGAGGCTCTGTTATCAGAACAGCTGTCTTGTTTACATTGTTGCTTTTGACGAATGTCTATTCTGAAACGTGAGGATGAGGTGTGCCCAAAGAGCTTGTTTCCAAACGGATCGTTGCCGTTTGTTCTGGCGCTACCACGAGCTCCCGCTGCAAGGATGGCGGCCACAGGTCGGGAGACTGGAGGCCGCAGATCACACGCACTTGCGTTTGGTGAGCCCAGTGCACCAGCTTCACGTTAGGGGCTCGGCTTTCTTGGTCTTGTCTCATAATTGTTACAACTTTGCGAAGAGGCTGTGGTATTAATTGAACAGATAAGGAATCTGAGATTTGGGGGGACAAAAAAACCACTTTCTAAGATCGGAAAAGATGGTTCTTGAAATGAACAACAAAACATAATTGCTGAATTAAAAATACATAATTTACAGCTGATGCAAAATACATGAAAGGGAAATGAAGAGCTACGAAGGCTGGGCAGGGAAGCCCAGCACATGTTTAATTAGATTTGTGAGCGATGGAACAGAGACAAGGGAATCAAGTGTCCACTTGAAGACGTGATAGCTAAGAATTCTCCAGTATTGCGAAAAAAGATGACTCTTCAGTCTGAAGATACCTGGACGTTTTGTAGTGAAAACTGCAGAATTCCGAACACAAACAAAAGAGGAGGCGAGGAGACACGTCAGAGGTGTGCAGCTGTGTTTGCAGCGGCTCCGAACAGTCCCTTCTAAGCTCCAACGGAAATAAACTGAGCGATGCACCTAATTTCTCTGCGGCACCAGCAACGTTTCAGGAGCGTTCCGGCCTCTCCTGTTTCAGGCAGCACACGTGCAGAGCAGCCCCCTGACTGCAGGAGTCCCGTCGGCCGGTGCCGATTAAGCCACAGGCCCCTTCTGAGCAGCACAGATACGCACAGAAATGATGAAATAAATGCGTGATTGAGAAAGCTGGACTTTTTTCTTTTCGGACAGGTCAACCACTGTTACATCGCAGTAGGGAATTCGAGATCATTCCTTTTTCCTTCCTGTGTTTTTCGACTCTTGTATCACGACAGTGTGTGAAGCTGCCAGATAATTAAATAATAAGCAATACAAAAACTCAAGGATTCCTTTTCATGTTTGAGGCCGGCATTTTTGGAGCCTGCGCAGTTTGAATGTGTACCGGGGGGCAGGATTTTTCCCCTTTAGCTTCCTCCTGTCTTGAATGATCACCGTCAGAGGATTCATGTGAGCAGTAACTGTTAAGTGCTGTTCCACCATCAAATTGCTAAGTGTTATGTGCACAGCATTTAGGAATTTATATACAGATTCCTCTGCCTCATTTAAACCACTGAAATACCAATATAAAAAAAGACATAGAGCCCATTTATGGCTTGTAAAAGCCTTCTCTTCCTTTAGACTTACAGGAGTCACAGACGGGAGTAATTTGAATCATAACCTCCCCAACTAGGAATTACTGAAAAATTTATCTCTGTTTTAAATTAAATGGCAATTTAACTGCACTAATATAGTTAGGGGAGCAATGAATGAAACCCCTCTATAATTTCATAGTAAAGTTATTTTGATTCTTGAAGTCCCAGTTTTGGAAAAAAATCTATATATCTTTATATATATATATACATATGCATATGTACATAAATACAGTGTTGTGATAGCAGCATTATTTTCATTCATTTAACCTGCTGTTTGATTTACATTGTATTGGATTTTTCAGGACTGCCACACAGACTTCGTATCAATGCCTGCCTCACGTCCTGTTGGTTTCCACACCAGCATATAATGAGCCATGTCGCTATCACACAGTTTTATTCTTTGTTTTTTTGTAAACGTACATATATGATTTCAGATTCTTTTCCATCATAGCTTGTTACGAGGTATTGAATAGAGTTCCCTGTGCTGTACAGTAGGACCTTGTTGTTTATCCACTTTATATACAGTAGTGTCTACCTGCAAATCTCAAACTCCTAATTTATCCCTCCCCCCTTTTCCCTTTGGTAACCATAAGTTTGTTTACTGTGTCCAACAGTCTATTTTTGGTTTGTAAATAAAATTTGTATCTTTTTTTTAGATTCCACATATAAGTGATATCATATGATATTTGTCTTTCTCTGTCTGACTTATTTCACGTAGTATAATGATCTCCAGGTCCACCCATGTTGCTGCAAATGGCAGTATTTTATTCTTTTTCATGGCTGAGTAGTATTCCATTGTATAAATATACCACAGCTTCTTTACCCAGTCATCTGTCAATGGACATTTAGGTTGTTTCCATGTCTTGGCTGTTGTAAATAGTGCTGCTGTGAACACTGGGGTGCAGGTGTCTTTTCAAATCAGAGTTTCCTCTGGATATATGCCCAGGAGTGGGATTGCTGGGTCATAGGGTAAGTCTGCTTTTGAGGAATTTTGAGGAATCTCCATCCTGTTTTCCATAATGGCTGCACCCAATTTGAACGAGGGCATTGAAAAAAGTGCAATCAGGTTTGATTCTAAGGCTGAGAACTTTCAGTTAGGATTTTCTGAAGAATGAGTTTTTATTGATTTATTTTTATTTTTATTTTTTAATTGTTCTTTGCCTTATTTATTTTTTAAAATTTTTTTTTATTGAGTTATAGTCAGTTTATAATGTTGTGTCAAGTTCCAGTGTAGAGCACAATTTTTCAGTTATACATGAACATATATATATATTCATTGTCACATTGTTTGAGTTTTTAATCAACCATGAGAGACGTAGAGAAGGAACCACTGGTGGGACGAAAGATGGGGTCTTTATTTTTCTTCTTCTTTGAGAGGAAGCGGTTATACTCAATCTTACTTTCCCTGTAACACAGACTCTTCTTTCAAAGGGACGAATGCACCATAACTCATGTTCTTTTTCCTTTTTCTTCCTAGACAAAACTGTCGAAGGGAAATGTGCAGCCTGAGACAGACAGGGAGAAAGTTGAGATTTTGATATAATTTGTTCCCTTTGAATGTGCAAGATGATGCCTAAGAGCATGCAGCATAAACAGTGCACATTTGGTATTCGCATCTATAATGACACTATCACGTTGTGAGCTCCGTGGAGAATGACGCTGCCGTTTAGCTTTGAGCTGTTACACAGATCGGGAAGGCGTGTATTTTAAAGGCTGCGGGCTTTGTGTGGGAACAACTTTGGTCTAAAGTATCAGCTTCTGTCTTGCACCCCTTTTATGAGCTGAGTATTTTTTGTGATGTTGCTTTTAGCTTTTGGCATCCTCACTTGAAGTGCTGGAGGGTTTGGCTGCTGGGAACCCAGCCTTTGTGGGGATTCTGGGTGGGCTCAGGGGAGTTACCTGACACGGGGCTCGTGTCCTGGCGCTGAGGAGCCCAGCTCCCTGACAGTGCAGTTACCCAGGGTCGGTCGTGAGAGCGGCCCCCACTCGACTGACGGCAGGTGCGGGGTGAGTCAGCGGGGAAGCCGAGCAAGGAGACGTGGACGGTGTAAGCAAACCATCAAGCATTTTGAAGGCAAACATGCTTAAAATGCTGGCTGGAAAGCTAATCAAACCTGGACCACTGAACACTCTGTTCTTGGTCCTTTCTGACCTACTGTGGCAGCTTACAAACTGCCTGGCATCCAGAGAAAATTAAACGCCTGAAAGTAAAAAGTGCAATTTCCATAAACCCTTTTCAAACATTAAACCATCGGTTTGGCAAAGGCCTCTCGGAAGGCTCCAGACATTTTATTTAATTTCCAGAATTTCTCGATGTGTTATACCATTAAATACAGGGAAACGTAAGTGAGTCAGTGGGCTTCATGATGGAAGCCACTTGAAGTTCATTTTTAGGTCAGACCTTCAGCTGAGAACTGCCCGGCCTTTCCGAGCGGTGCTGGAGCATGAAGCATGCAGGGTGTTACGACTTTCTTGATCAGGTTGAGCAGCTCCAAGACAAGTGTGGAAACTGAAAAGTAGATGTGGGTGTTTTCTAGGAACACGTGAGTGTGATGAACAGTGGTTTTGATTTAGAAAATATTTGGTTAGCATCGCGCAGAAATGGGCTGGAAGGTGTCTGTGGGGAGCTTGTCCACTCCTAGGTCCATGACAATGAACTCTGGTTTGGCCGTTAAACGCTTGCCTGACTCCAGAGCCTCGTTATCCTCCGACCTCCCTTTTAGGCAGATTTGCATGAGGCCACACCCACTCAGTGTCTCCATCTGGATCATAACATAACACCGTTGAAAACGGGTCTCATCCACCTGAACTATGAGGTGCCAGGTTGATCTCTTCTGGATCATTATTTCCCCAAAATTTTAATAAAATCATGCCATTGGCAGCAACACAGATGGACCTGAAGATCGTCATTCTAGGTGACGTAAACCAGAAAGAGAATGAAAAACACCATGTGATGTCACTTATATATGGAATCTGAAAAAACAAAAGGACACAAATGAACGTATTGATGAAACAGAAACAGACTCAGACTCACAGACAGAAAAGCTTATGGTTATTGGGGGGAAAAGTGGGTGGGGAGGAATACATTGGGAGTTCGGGATTTGCAGATGCTAACTATTACATATAGAAGAGATAAATGACAAGATCTTAACTGTATAAAACAGACAACAATATTCAATACCCTGTAATGGACTATAATGAAAAATAATATAGAAACATATATATATATCAGTGTATATAATCACTATGCTGTATGCCAGGAATTAACACAACATTGTAAATCGACTATACTTTAATTAGAAAACTGTTTAAAAAAAGAATTAACAGCTAGTCACAGAATCAGGTATTTAAGCTAATAAAATAGAGCTGGGGAAAACCATGCTATGCTTTGACTTAACACGTCTTTAATGCTCTCTGAGTACCTAGTTCCACAGTGGTTCAGTAGCCCCGGGCTCCTGCCTGCAAACAGTCTACTAAACCACCCACGTCGATAGACGTCAGTTCTTAATGAAAACTGTGCAACTGAGAGATGCACGCTTTGAGCGGGAGGTGGTTCGCACTAACAGTAGTCTCCGTAGCAGTCACGATTCCCCAGCAAGGGTTTACATTATTCTCCATCTAGGAAACAGGAATTTTCCTTTCAAAGGGGTTCTCGAGGATCTTTACAGACTTTATGATTCTATCTATGTCAGAACACCCTGAAACCCGTCAATGGTTCAAAATAATCGAAATGTTAAACGTGATTGCAGTGAAGTAGTTTACAGTCTTCCACGGGGAGTATGTCTTAATGTTAAAATTAGAAATAGAACAAGAGTTCTTTTTCTCTTAAGTGCGTACACTTTCCTATAATCCTCACCCTGCACTTGGGTAGCGTAACTTCACTTAAAAAGTTAACACTGAAAGATTAGTGGTAGGAATCACCGAATCCTGGGGCCAGGAATTTTTCCTTTGGGGCCCCCCATTTTTCCATATGTTCAATGACAGATACACAGTCCTGTTATCACAAAAAAGTGATTTTTAAAAATCTGATCCTGAATGATGCTTGAGCCATTGATTTATTAGGTGTTCCTGTAAATAGTTACTCATTGATTGGACCCGTTCATGCTAAGTTAACGAACTGCATCGGACACACTGACTTCTTACGATGAGCCCGATTTAAGAAACGGGCGACGTGTGTTCGGAAAGTCGAATGTTCTGGACGGTGCTGCGGCTTTTCTTTGCAGAGAAGACGTGCGTCTGTCTTCGGCTGGTGCGGCCGGCGTTCGTATCGGCTACTGTCCGCAGCAGGACGCCCTGGACGACTACCTGACCGGCTGGGAGCATCTCCACTATTACTGCTGCCTCCGTGGGATTCCAAAGCAGTGCATCCCCGAGGTGAGACCGTCTGAGGTTTTCCAGAAAAGGGGACCCACTGGGGAATGCTTGGCCATCACCTCTCTCATCCCATGGTAAAAACCCACAGTATCAGATACATGTCCCTGAAACATTTCCCATGTGATGATGCTGAAGGAAACACCATCCAACGTGTGAATGTTACATATTTAAAATAGATCCCCCTGGGGAGGAAGTCTTGTGGTCGAAGTTCAAGCGAAGCATCATTTGCAATTTTGTTTCCTGCCCAGTTTCCTCTCCCAGCATGTTACATTTACTGGGTGGTTAGTCTGTATTCAGGAGCAAAGGCTGTAAACATGGTATCCCCAGGAACCGCAGAGAAGTGCGCAGAATTGGGGGTTGTTGGGACGGATGGGCTGACAGCTGCCCGGGTGGGGTCAGGAGGAGGGGCGGGAGCTGCGGTCGCCCCCATCCATGTCCGTGATGGGGAGGAGGGTGGGCACCACGGTGAGGACAAGAGGCAGCTGCCACTCTGTTTCGAGCGGCGGTCAGCAAAGTGGCGCTGACAGCCTTGATTGACAGCTCATCCGAGTGGGAAGCCGCTGGGACGGCAGGAGCTCAGGGCGCCGTCTTACCTTCCCCGCACCTCACTGTGCAGGTGGAGTGCCTCTTGCCTTTCTGGATTCTCAAGTTGGAGCAGAAATAAGTGGCAGCAGCCATGCATTTTCAATGAGGTTCTGCAGGAGACGGGGCATCGCGGGATGCGCGGGGGACAACAGTGACAGCCGTCTCCTTCACTGGTCCATGACAGTTCATTCTCTGGGCTGCGGTTCATGCCTCAGCCTTGGTTTCTTAGTTACGCTCTGTAGCTTGAAGTCTCACTGGAAGGAAGTCTCTCCACATCCTCGGAGGGGTCCAGGGCCACCTCCCATCTTAATAAAGCGGAGACAAGTGTCCGCCCACAGAAGCAAGTACTGAAACCCAGGGCTAATCTCCGTCTCCGCCTTTAGTTGGTGTTTATCTCGGTCGGCTCCCCTGGCTGGGCTTTGATTAGAGAGGCCGATGCTTGGTAAACACAGGAAGCCGGCCCCTTCGTCCTCCCCGGGACGCCTTGTTAACCCAGTGAGGCTTGCAGCCTCCTGTCATGCAGGGCAATTGCTCCCGATACTCAGCCATCTTCCAGGCTTGTTTGCCTGAGCTCCTCTGCAGGGAAAAAAAACAACAAAAAAAGTGATTTTCATGGTGGCCAATTAGGAAGTGGCTTCATTCCTTTTGTGAATCTGCCACTGCTGCCTGCTCGGGGCTTTTGAAGATGTCAGCACACGGCTTCCCGGAGGAGTTGCTAGCTCCATTTGCGGCACGTTTCCCCCTCCTATAGATTTTGGAATTATTTGAAATACGGCACTGGCGTGTCTGTTGTAACATGCTCATCACTCAGTGACCAGGGGGATTATTAAAAAAGTAATGGAAAATGGTAGTTTATTTGCCCTGGGCCGGGTACGGTTCTAAGTAGAGCATCCGGAGGAGGCGGGTAAGAGGCTCATCCCCATTTCACAGACGGGAAGGCTGAGGCTCAGACGAGGCGGGAACGCTTCCCAAGTTGCGTGGCGCGGGTGGCGGGGGTTCGCCTTGAAATCAGAGAAGCCGCCTTCAGGGCTATGGGTGGAGATGCAATTTTGATGCCTGGCGTGTTGCGATTGCGTGTGTGAGACGGAAATTTCCAGCGTCGTGAAGGGCTGTCTGATTTTCTGCACCCCTTTGGTGGCCACAGACGTGGCCACTGCAGGGGGTTACTGGGGCTCCCCTGAGAGGCAGCCCCTCCTGCTGGCCTCCCTGGCGGCTGGCCCTGGTGTGCTCTCCCACCGCGTCTGCTGCTCACTTAGCTCCCCTTCCCCGGGCTGTCACCTGTTCTCACCGGAACGTGATTCCAGAGCCAGACCCCCATGCCTGCGGGGAAGGTCCTCGCCTTTCTCCACGCCCCTCCCTCCCCGGGGCCCGCGCCTTTCTCTGGGCTCCGCCTGCGTCCGGGGTCCCCACTCGCCTCCAGCCCGTCGGCCGGTCTCTCCCACATCTCTCTGGTCACAGCCCCGCTCCCCCCGCCCCCTAGAAGTTAATTCAATTCAGCGAGAAGAGGTCTTCATTCACCTCGAGTTTAAGGCTGGCAGGTTGACGTAAGCCTTTCCATGTCCCCCCATTGTCCACACCACGTCCTTTTGTGCTGTGCCCGTATCTGAGTCTGAATTCAATTAATCTGGTTTGAAAAAAAAAAACGTATCTAAAGTTACAACACAGTGATTCAGGAGACGGGGTAACGTGGTCTGGATTGCTAGGGAAACCTGTCGGATGATTTAAACGTTAGCGTCGTACAAGGACACCACACCACACTCACCCACCTGCCAGTGGGGCTTCTGTGTGTGCGTGTGTTTGCCCCTGGAATACAAGAGTTAAGGCTTAGCCACCTCATTTTTGTTAAAACCTGCAAATGTCCATCAGGGAACCCCCGACTGTGTCTTGCTTTTTACCTTCTCTGCAGATTCCGCCTTCCTCCTGAAGGTTTCTTCCAGTCCCCTTCCGTTCTGTTAGAAGGAGCCAGAAATGACACGAAGGCGAGAGGGGGACGAGGAGGCATGAGTCAGAGACGGGGTCGCGAGATACCCCTGAATTCTTTCCGTGTTACCTTCAGGCAGCACAGAGGAGGCCACGGTGCAGTTTATATTCAGACTTTCTGTTGGGAGGCATAAATATTACCCTAATGTTTTTAGAAGTTCTTAATGTTTCATCCTTATAATTATCCACGTTATTATTATTCCAAATTTTAAGCATTTATCCAAAAAAATTTGTTAGTTTAAACCCGTTTCATTCAGTTGTTTAAGATGCACAAATCATGAGTCCATCTGCATGTTTCTACAGAGTTTTCCCCACTTCTCTTATATTTGAATGACATGACCTTGACCAGATTGATTACACGATGACACTGAACAAACCAAATCTGTGTTACCATCTAGGGTCCCGAGAATTAGGTTAAACGCTTGACGGCATCTTACAGTCACGCAGGGTTGAAAACAAAGCTGTTTCCTCATCTGGGCTCCCAGAGGGGCCCGCCGGCCCGAGGATGGGGCGGGAAACGGGCAGAGCAGAGCGCGGGCCGGGCCAGCAGGCGCGCTGAAGACCAGGTCTGCATAGACATGTGTCTCACGCAGAGCGGGGATGGGCGTTCTGCTGCGGAGAGATGCTGAGGGGAAAACCGAGGGGTGCAGGGTGGAGGGGCACAGAGGTGGGGTCGTGCCAATGTCCTGGGGGAGCCGGAATTCCCCCCAGGGTTCCGTCTGGTGATGCAGGCACCACCCTCCCGGCTTGAGCAGAGGGTTCCCAGCGACTGCAGAGGAGAAACATTCCTCTTTTCTCCCCACCTCCGATCCTTACCAACCGAGCTCAGGGGGCCGTCTCAGGAAGCGGCCTCTGGGTGGAAAGGGGCTCCTTTCCTGGGCAGATATCCAGGACTCCCTCCTCACCTCCCATGTTTCTGGTCCTCGCTGCCCCCACGGGCGCCAGACCTGAGGATTCTGGCCATCGCTCTGATGATTCACGGGCTCAGAGAACCCAGCTTGGTCCACAAGGACCACTCGCCCCATCCTCCCCGAGTCTGTTCATTCTCAGTCCTCCCTGTGTTGTGAGGGGCGACACCTCAGGGGCTGGGCTGGACTGCTCATCGGGGGCGGTGGGCGGGGGCAGGGTTCCAGGCCAACAGCCAGGTGTCCCGGGGGGCCCCTCGGAGAATGGGGGTGCATTCTCTCGCCCAGGTTGCTGGGGACCTGGTGAGGCGTCTACACCTGGAAACCCACGTGCACAAGCTGGTGGCCACCTACAGCGGGGGCACCAGGAGGAAGCTGTCTGCAGCCCTGGCCCTGCTGGGGAAACCCGACCTACTCCTGCTGGTGAGTAATGGGGCCACCGGTGACGTGCCAGCGTCTTCAAATCAGGGCTCTTCCGGGGGACGAAATGCAGATCTTGCAGTGTTGGTTTTCTGGACGAAGAAACATTCAGCCCTGAGTCCACATTTTCCAAGCAGAGTCCAAAATGCCGCTGCTGGAATTTTACAGAAACGAAACGTTTCTGTTTTGGGTCACTTTTAGTTATCACGTTCAAGATTTGAAAACAGTTTAGCATTCAACACAACATTTTAGAAGAATTCCAGAACTCAGCTGTAGTCTGGAAACAGGTGCATCCCTGTTCTGTGGCATGTTACGCTGTCTTTTTTTTTTTCAACCTGTGGATATGATTGTCACAGCTGGAGGGACAGTGTCCTTGGTGAATCCTGAAGGTGGGTGTTGGGGTGCAGGATGGACTTGGTGAGGAGGGGAGGGCGTTCAGCACGAGAACAGAATATATACAGTGGTTTTAAGGCAAGGATGTAATCTAAGTGGGGATCGAAGTTAATCCAGTTTGTCTGGAGGAAAGCATGAGCTGGAGATGTTTAAGGGTCAAGAAACAGAGGTAATTGTTTTGCACCCAAAAATAGACACCTGCACCCCAGTGTCCACAACAACACTATTTACAACAGCCAAGACATGGAAACAACCTAAATGTCCATCAACAGATGACTGGGTAAAGACGATGTGGTCCATTTATACAATGGAATACTACTCAGCCATGAAAAAGGGTGAAATCATGCCATTTGCAGCAACATGGATGGACTTGGAGATGGTCATACTCAGTGAAGTAAGCCAGAAAGAGAAAGACAGATACCATTTGATATCACATATGTGTGGCATCTAAAAAGTGATACAAATGATCTCACTTACAAAACAGAAGCAGACTCAAAGATGTAGAAAACAAACTTAACGGTTTCCAAACGTGAAAAGAGGTGGGGAGGGATGAATTAGGAGTTTGGGATTAGCAGACACACACTACTGTGTAAAAAAAGAGATAAGCAACAAGGCCCTACTGTACAGCACAGGGAACTGTATTCAATACCTCATAATAACCTATAATGGACCAGAATATATATATGTACAACTGAAGTGCTGTGCTGTGCAGCAGAAGCTAAAAATAATACCATCAAACAATAAATAAAAGTGGATTCTCATCACTGGAGTGAATCCCAGGGCTTCATGCTTGTGGACAGTCTGAGGGACATCCTGAAATATGAGAAACAAAATAGATTCTTCCCCTGTTCTTGTTCATTAAATGGAAACAGCTCAGTGAGGGGAGCAGAAGGGGGCTCAGAGGCCTGTGTTGGAAACACGGCCCCATCATTTATGGATTGTCTTTTGGAATCTCAGTCCAGTTTTCCTCTTACTTGCCCGAAGCTTGCTTTTTTTTTTTTACAAGGTCCAAAATCAAAGACGACTGCGTAATCGCGTATTCTGAAATCTGGTCACAGTTCGCAGGGTTCTGCAGTTTGCAGACGACGTTCTCCCTACAAGGGGAGGCAGGCTCGCCTTGAAGAGTTCACAGGACGTGGCCATTTGTACTTTGAGCAGAATCCCCGGTCAGCCTCCCCGCTACATCTCCTGAGTCAGGATGGGGTCCTCTGCCCTGGCGTGCATCCCTGGCTCTCCGCAGCACCCCCCGGTCCCCCCAAACATCTTTTCCCATGCAGCCCTGCTCTCGGCCCCCTTGGTCACCCAGGACTAGGGCACAGTGACAAGGCTGGGGACTCGAGTCCCACTTCCCACCTGCCTCCGACACGTTCTGCGCCCACCCCCTCCTTGTCTGGAAATGGTCCTGATCAAAGTGTCCATCTGCTGGAGTCCCTGAAGGCAATCCATGCAGTCATCCAGGTCAGGCTTTAGTGACCGACGATGGAGTGTTCAGAGCAACTG